TTCTAATTTCAGGAGGTCTAAAGGAATTTTTAAAAAAACATTTAACACTAGCTTATAAGTGTTGGGGAAATGTGTGTGTAGGCCACAGTCATACCTTCCTTTAAAGCTCTGTGGTTTCCCAGGGTGCTCACATTGGTGACTGGTCCAGCACAGAATAGGTCCTGCATCTTAGAATGTATGGGTGAGGAACCCTAATAGATTAGCAATGTCACTGTCTGTAGCTTTAGGTAAAATTCTGCAAATTATTTCTCTGCAATAAGAAAGGCTAATATTTATTAATTATTTACAATGCAGTAGCAACTATGTAATATTTCTTTTAATCCTCACAACAATCCTGTAAGGTAGATACTATTACTGTCCTTATTTTAAATAAGAGGAAACTGAGATATGGAGAGATTAAGTAATTTCTCTGAGATCATAATGCTGGAATTTGAACTTTAGTTCAACTCAATAGCGGGTAGGTACTCTTTATGCATATGTTATCCTGCAGTGCAGTCTCTTATATCTATTTATATCACCTTACTTAACACCCTCAATGAAGAACACTTCTGATCTTAATATTTTTTGATCCAAAACCTCTAGTGGCTTCCTATACCTAGATAAGAAGTGAAAACTCTTTAGCTTGTAATATTAGGCTGTGGTTTCAATATCTTACTCTGGCCTTATCTTTTACAACTCTTTTGCATATATCTTAATCTCTAATTACACAGTGCTCCTAAAATTTCTCAGAGTTGCCCCATATATTTGCTTCTGCTGAGAAAATTCTTTTTACTTCTTTAACCACTAAATCCTACTATATTTCAGACATTTTCAATCCCAGGTGAAAGGCCACTTCCTCTTGAACTTTTATGGTAACTTCAATAAATCCTCCCTTCATTTAACTGTTAGAATACTTTATTTTATACTTCTTACAGCACTCACCACATATTTTCCTGTTGCCATGGTTTGAACGTAATATATCCCTCCAAAATTCATATGTGATAGTATTAAGAGGCAGGGCCTTCTGGGAAGTAATAAAGTCATGAGTGCTCCATCCCATGAATGGGATTAGTGCTTTTATAAAAGAGGCTGAGGGGGTGTCCTACTCTCGTTTTGCTGTTTTGCCCTTCCACCATGTGAGGGCACTGCAAGAAGGCCTTCAGCAGACACCGAATCTGCTAGCACCTTAATCTTGGACTTCCCAGCCTCTAGAACTGTGAGAAATAAATTTGTGTTATTTATAAATTACCCAATATGTGATACTTTGTTATAGCAGCAGGAATGACTAAGACTCTATATACGAGTTATTTATTGTATTTGCTATCACCACTCCCAGATTATAGCAACATGAAGGCATGCACATTAGGTAATTTTTAAATCTCCCTTGTCATACAAACGCCCTATAAAGCTCATTAAATGAATGGCTTTAATTATGCAGTAGGGTTATAGAAAGAAAATTTTTTTAAAAAAACACAGAGGGAGACATCTCAAAGATTGAGCAGTAGACTGAATACATGTGTTTATCTCTTCTCCATCCTAAAAATCTCATGTGTTAAAATAAATGGTGCTATGAGAAATAACCAGCAGATTAGGTACCCTGAAAGATTCTTTCAGTCAAACTAGTTGAAATGCTAGATAAAACATTTTGAAAACATCTTTATAAATGTATGGCTGAGTTGGCATAAAATAAACAAATCTATAGAGCTTGCAAATGAAGTAAAAGTATGAACCATGGTAGCCAAACTACCTTCCTAGCGGGATTTACCCTAAAGGTTTCTTTCTAATTCTGGAGACCTTGAGCATCTGCTTTGATAGTTGCATGGAGATTTTGAGGGAAAGGAGATGAAGCCTAACAGATATACAAAATGAAAAGTCTAATAGAAGAAACCTGCATAAAATAGAATCCCAAATGGCCACTTTTGGGAAGCATACATGAGAACATACTCACTCAGCTGTTTGTAAGGAAACTTGTCTCTGTCAATCTTGGCAGTGAATAATAGTAAAAGAAATAACTTTCTAAAGAATTTATAACCACAACTCAAACTTCATGCAGGTTAGTCATCGAACTCATGCTACCTATGTGTTCAAGAAAACCTCAGTCAGAGCTTTTAAAGTGGTCCTTAGTTGGTAGTGCCTCAAACTGAGTGATGGAAACAAATGCTAATTTTCATTGGAGGAGCCCAACTTCAACCTAGGGGTTACAGAACTCCCATAAATAAAGTACATAGAAAAATCAGTAGTTCCAGGCAAAACCCACAAAGTGAAAGAAATGAGATCCAGAAACAGACCCATAAAACTTCAGGTATGAGATTGTTAGAAACCAAATACAAAATAACTTGGATATACTTAAGGAAATAAAAGAGAATCTTTAAAATATGAGTAGGAAACAAGTGACTACAAAGAGCCACAAACCAAATTTAAAACAGAAATAGTCTTTCTAGAAATGAAATAAATATAGTTAGCATATGAATACATCTAAACAAATATTCACTGCAAAGATAGCAACAACAAAATCATGGCTAACAGAAATGAAACAGTTCAGAATTTTCAAAACTAGGCAGCAACAGCAAATTACAATCCTTTTAAAGATGAGAGCAAAGATGGTATTGTTGATTTTGTTAAGAATGCATGTTGAATAGCTAGTGTAACATATAAAAACATAGATTTAGATAATACAATTTCCAGATAAGTAAAGGGGAAAGAATGAAATGAGAAAAGAAGAAAAAGATAAATTCAAAAGATGGCAAGAAAGAAGAGAAACCATGACTAAAAAGTGCAGGATAAATGGAAAGGACATAATGAAATGGAAGAAATGAATCCAATTCTATACATAATCACAAAAAATATAAGTAAACCAAACTCTGCAGTTAAGGACAACAAATGTGTGAATAAGATTTTAAAAATTTAGTTATATGCTGTTTATAAGTGATACATTAACTCTAAGAACACAAAAATATTCAAAGTTAGAAAAAATAAAAAAAAGTACTAGGCCAATACTAATTTTTAAAAAGTTACTGTAGCTACATTCATGAACAAATTAACTCTATGGAGAAAATAATTTTGAGAGAACAAGAGGATCACTCAGGATACTATACCGATTTTGACACCACAGGTAGGATATCATGATTCTAAACTTGTATGTTGCTAATAAAACAGCCTAAAAAGTATGTAATATAAAAACTCGACAGAACTACAGGGAGAAGTTTCTACATCCACCATCATAGTGGGAGATATTTAACACTCTCAGTAATTGATTGATCATGTGGGCAAAAAATATGCAGGCTATAGATGATCTGAACAGCACATGTAACATAATCAGTTGACAGATATGAAGCATTTCATGTAGCAAAAGCAGAATATGCAACCTTTTCAAGTACATATGGGATATAAAAAAAAAAAAATGATCACATGCAAGGCCATAATACCAACTCTGTATTTGAAAGGACAGGCACCAAACAAACAGTATTTCTTGACCACAGTGCAATTAAATTAGGTATTGACAACAAAAGGAACTAGAAACACCTGTATTTTGGGAAATTAAAAAAATCTTCTAACTAATTTATGGGTTGAAATCATATTCATATTGGAAATTAGAATGTATTCTCAATTGAAAAATTATAAAACTCTACTAAATCTTGTGGGATACAACTCAAGCAGCACTTGGAAGGAAGTAGGAAGTCTCAATAGTCTTATAAGCATTACAGAAATTGAATGTGGTTTTTAAATCTCCTATATAAAATATGAGGCATATTCTAATAAATGTTTACTGTATAAATGTTTACTGTTTTTATTTGTTACACTAGCTATTCAAGCATTATCTCTTCAAATACTGCCTCTTCCCATTCATTCTAACCTTTCCTTTTATCGTTCCAGTGACTCAACCTCTCCTCCATGTTTGTTAATATTTTTAAAACATTTTCTACCTCTGTGTCTCTTCCCTCTTCAGGGAGGGAAGAGCCTGGGGCCCCTAAGCCATTTCCTCTAGATACAAACTTGGTAACTCTTTGCTGTTTTCTCTGGCATAGCCCTGATGGAGATCCAGGCAAGCAAGAACTCACTCTGAAATATAGGGGCTGTTGGGTCTAGGCTGTCGACCTCAGCTTAATACAAGAGCCTGAAGCTTGTTCCACAGACACAGGTTCTAGTGTAGGCTGTGGTGGAAGCCATCAGTTTCTCTGGTACTGACCAACCTGGCACAGTTTCATGCCTTGGGATTCAGAGCTGAACACCTGAGGATGAACTAGTAGAGCTGGAATCCTGGTTAAGGTACCCCAGGCAGTGACTGTGAACTGACTGGATGTACCCATATGTGCCCAGCCACTGTACTTTGAAGTTTAACTGACCATTCTGAACTGAGCAAGCGCTTGAGATTCTTAGGTAGTGGGGTGGGGGGGTTGCAGGTGGGGAGAAAGACTTTAGGAGGGAGAAACTGGACTTGCTGCTAATAAAGACAGTGGTGGTCTTGAGCAATGAATTTATACCTTTAATATGTCAAATGACTCATATGGATTATAGTTTTAAAAACGACCATCGGGCCAGGCAATTTGGCTCACGTCTATAAACCCAGCACTTTGGGAGGCCAAGGTGGGCGGATTGCTTGAGCCCAAGAGTTCAATACCAGTCTGTCTCTACAGAAAATACAAAAATTAGCTGGGTGTGGTGGCGCATGCCTGTGGTCCCAGCTACTGGGGAGGCTGAGGTGGGAGGATCACTTGAGCCCGGGAGGTCAAGGCTGCAGTGAGCTGAGATTGCACCACTGCAGTTTAGGCTGGGTGACAGAGCGAGACTTTGTCTCAAAACAAACAAACAAATAAATAAGTAAATAAATAAATAAATAAAAACAAAGATCAGCCATATGTCACCCCCTGTTAACCTGTGCTGATCCTTGTAGTTGATTTAGGCATTAAGAAAACATTAAGAAAGAATCAAAGGAGGTGGACCAAGGGGTAGAAGGAATTTGGAGTAAAGAAAACAGGAGCCAGAGGTGAGGGAGGGTTGGCGATGCAGCTCACTCTACTCACTGGGCTGGTGTGTGTTCCAGTGTGTGTACTGCACCGGCTCAGGTTTCCGCCCTGCTGGCTTCCAAGTGTATTCTCCTGTATCATTTTGGTCTTGAAGAGCTATCCAAAAATAACTGTCCTTCATTTTTACCACACTACTGATCAAACTGGTAATAAAAGCCTGTTCAAACCTTAAAAGGGGAAAAAAGAAGTGATTATATTAAGTTTCTGGGCAATAAAAAAAGTCATTAAAGCATAATGAAGTGCACAGAATGGCCCCAGAGTAAGTGTTTCTCATTAATTCTTTAGAACATGGAGCAGGAAAACACCCAAAGACCCTGAACATTACTAATAAATGCCGAATGTCAGTGCAATTCCCAGAAATACATGAGTGAGGAGAATCTGACTCTTGCATATGGGGCTTAATTCTTGCACAGAATAAAGTCCAGCTCCAATTTCAAAGCATAGGTGGTAAAGTTCATATGGCCAGCAATGCATTTCTTGGAGTACGATGTGGCCTATTTTGTAATTAGGCCACACACCACACAAACCATGCCACAATATGCATGGGGTAAGGGTGGGCAGGAGGGAGGAGGAAAGATATTATGCTTTTCTGAATGAGCATTTACTAATACAGAGTTCACATGCACCCACCTACCATACTTGCCTGGGGAGAAAGAAACAGAAATTAAAGTAGCAATTTTATGTCTCCCAAATCAGTGTGTTCATAGGCACAGGTAGGTCTCAGCTTATTCAAATGTGTTTAAATCTGCATGTTCACTGAAGAAAAATGTGAAAGCCCAGGAACTAATCTAAAGCTCTACATCCACTAATGTACTTCCCAAACAGCTGAATGAATTACTGTTTAATGATTGGTGGCAGTGCCCCCTTTCCAGTATGAATGCGTCAAAAGCAGAATCTAGAAAACTTGCATACATGCTTCCACATGCACACCTACCAAGAAAATCATGACTATTAAAACTTAACTAGCATTGAACCTTTCAGCTAAGTTGAAACTATCTTGAGAAAGCTATTTTTAGAACATATAAAGTTAGAAGAAACACATTTGAAACAGTGGTGACTTCCGGGGAGACCTGCTGAGTCAGTGGGAAAGGAAAGGCTGAAGCCAAACCCAAGGAGAAAGCAAATTAGACCTTTTTATTCAATTTTGGTGGTTTTTTTCATTACTGTGCATCCTTAACTTGCTAAGGGAAGCAAAAGCAATGGGGTCATTTATGAATAGGGGAGTCTCAAAGGAAATAGGAGATAAAAAGAGAGAAGAATAAAAAGAAGGAAAAATTTTAAGTGTCTTACAGATATTATTAGCAACATTTAGAGATCTTAGGCATTTATGGTACTCATCTTTGCAGGGGAAATGGATTTTCATCATGCTTTAGTAAATATTTTCTGCAGATACTCTATTAATAACCTAAATAGCACACATTCGAAACAGGAAAAGTTCTTTTTTTAATCCAGATCATACTGGCAGAACCTTACATAAATGTGCTTCAAAAGAAATGTATAGAAGACTAAATATTGCCTACATGCTGTTGTAATTTTCCTTACACTTCAGTTGGTTCATGCTCTCAATAATATACGATCTGCTTTTCTCTATCTCCTCCAAGGCAGAGTAAGTAATACGGGGTCAGGGAAGTGCTGGGAGGAGAAGGGCAGGGTTCCTGGTTAGGGCTCCACCCCCGGCCTGTGCCCCCAGACCTAGATGAAGACAAGCATTTCTGTTTTCGTGCCCAAATGTTGCATTTCCCAAGACCACCCTGGCTTGCCACGCCCCCATCTTCTGCCTATAAAACCCCCCGAGACCCTAGTGGGAAGAGAGACAAGCGGCTGGACATCCAGAGGAACACACCGGTACAAGAGCACACCGACAGGCACCGGCAGAGGCCGGCAGGTCATCGACAGGAAGAACGATGTGGAGTTTGGCCAGAAGGAAGTTAAGAAAATAACTCCACTTACAATAGTGCCCCCCAAATACATAGGAATAAACTACACAAACGAGAAAGACTTGTATACTGAAAACTGCAAAATGGTGAAGGAAATTAAAGAAGCCACAAGGAAATGGAAATAAATCCCGTGTTCATGGCTTGGAAGACTTAATATTGTTAAGATGCTTATACTACCCAAAATGATGTATATATTCAATGCAATCCCTATCAAAATCCCAATGATATCTTTTTCAAAAATAGAAAAGTTCATCCTAAAATCCATATGGAAATTCAAGGAACCCTGAATAGCCAATATAATTGTGAAAAGAAACCAAGTTAGAGGTCTGACACTTCTTGATTTCCAAACTTACTACAAAGCTACAGTAATCAAGACAGTGTGGGCTGGGCATATTGGCTCATGCCTATAATCTCAGCACTTTGGGAGACTGAGGCAGGCAGCTTGCTTGAGCCCAGGAGCTCAAGACCAGCCTGGGCAACATAGGGAGATCCTGTTGCTACAAAACATAAAAAACATTTGCTGTGAGTGGTGGCGGTAGATGCCTGTAGTCCCAGCTACTAGGGAGGTCAAGGCGGGAGGATGGCTTGAGCCCAGGAGGTCAAGGCTCCAGTGAGCTATGATGGAGCCACTGTACTCCAGGCTGGGTGATAGAGTGAGACCCTGTCTCAAAAACAAAATGAAACAAAAAACCAGTGTGGTACTAGCATAAAGACTAACACATAGGCCAGTGGAATAGACCAGGAATAAACCCTTGCATATATGTCAAATGATTCTCAAGAATGGTGCCAAGACTGCTCAGTGCAGAAAGGACAGTCTTCTCAATAAACTGTGTTGGGAAAACTAGACATCCACTTGCAACAGAATGAAGTTAGACCCTTACCTTATACTATGCACAAAAACGAACTCAAAGTAAATTAAAGACCTAAACATAAGAGCTAAAACTATAAAACTCTTAAAAGGAAACATAGGAAAAAGGCTTCATAACATTGTATTTGGCAATGATTTCTTGTATATGGTACCAAAAGCACAGGCAACAAAATAAGAAATGAATAAATTGGACTTCATCAAAATTAAAAACTTTGTGCATCAAAGGACACTATCAACAGAATGAAAAGGCAACCCACAAAATGGGAGAAAGTATTTGCAAGTTATACATCAGATAAGGGATTAATATCCAGAATATATTGAAAATTCCTATAACTAAACAATAGAGAAGACAAACATCCCAATTAAAAAATGGGCAAAGGACTTGAATAGACATTTCTCCAAAGAAGATATATAGCTAGCCAATAAGCACGTGAACATGAAAAGATGTTCAACAGCATCAATCACTAGCGAAATGCAGATCAAAACCACAGCGAAATACCACTGCACACCCAGTAGGATGGCTATTATCAAAACAAAACAACCAGAAAATAGGAAGCATTGGCTAGGATGTGGAGAAACTGGAACCCTTATGCACTACCGGTGGGAATGGAAAATGGTGCAGCCATTATGGAAAAGAGTATGGCGGTTCCTCAAAAAATTTAAAATTAAATTTTCATATGATCCAGCAATTTCACTTATAGGCATACATGCCAAAGAATTGAAAGCAGGGACTCAAAGGGTATTTGTACATTCATGTTCATAGCAGCATTAGTCACAATAGCCAAATGGTGGGAGCAACCCAAATATCCATTAATGGATGAATAGATAAACAGTATGTGTATATACATACAATGGAATATTAATTAGCCTTAAACAGAAAGGAAATGCTGACACTACAACATGCTAAGTGAAATAAAGCAGATACAGAAAAAACATAATTACACTTACATGAGACACCTAGATAGTTAAACTCACAGAGACAGAAAATAGAATAGTAGTTGCCAGGGTCTGGGAGGAGGGGAGAATAGGCAGCTATTGTTTAACGGGTACAGAGTTTCGGTTTGGGAAGATGAAAAGAGTTCTGGAGATGGATGATGGTAGTGGTGAACAACAATGTGAATGCAGTTAACACCACTGAACTGCACACTTAAAAATGACTAACATAGTGAATTTTATGTTTATGTGTGTGTTATCTATATTTTACCACAATAAAAAATATTAACTGCAAAAGTGTTTTGGGGAGATATGACAGTTGCAGGAAAATGGTAGAGCTGTAAAAATGCTTTAAAATAATGCACATTTAAGCTTAGGAGAGGCACAGTGGCTCACGCCTATAATCCCAGCACTCTGAGAGGCTAAGGCAGGAGGATTTCTTGAGCCCAGGAGTTCAAGACCAGCCATGGCAACATGGCAAGAATCTGTCTCTACAAAAAAATTTAAAAAATTAGCCAGGCATGGTGGTACACGCCTGTAGTCCCAACTACTTGGGGGGCTAAGGCAGGAGGATTACTTGAGCCCAGGAGGTCAAAGCTGCAGTGAGTCATGAAGGCACCACTACACTCCAGCCTGGGCAACAGAGTGAGACACTGCCTCAAAAATAAATGAAAGTAAAATAAACTTAGGAGAAAATGAGATATTGCAGAATTTCTCACTTTTGGCAAAATTCACAAAATTGAATGCCATTTGGATTATTTTGTACCAATATTCCATGGCTGATTGATTCAAAATTTAGACATACATGGATTTAGCCAATTATGCGTTATAATTTTGGAACTCAACTTCTGCATTCATGCTTTGTCTGGAAGCAAAGTGGCCAGGCCTGAAAAGATTTTGTAACAATCAGCAAGCCAATACAAATTTGTTACTCAACAATAAGGATCTGTTTTTCTTCCCCTCTCTATTCCACAAAGTGTTAAAAGTCTTAGACCAGGAGCAGTTGCCTGATCACAAAAGAAATAAGTAATTTGTAGCAGGTGGTTCTAATTGTGCCCATCAAACCTGTCATTCCATTGTGCAGAAGAGTGGAAAATCAATTAGCAACTACAAGCTTGGGTACTGAAGAGTGACAGCAGTGTCTTAACTCAAACAGGAAATCAGTAATGGAAGAAAATGATTACCACGGCCGTTAGTGGACACTCCTGGATCTGAGAGACTTTCTGTCTACTGCCAAACCTTCTCAGACAAAAGGTGCGTTTGCAAAAATTCCAATGTGTATTGTGAATCAAAAGTAGTACAGTGTGGACCCTTGTTTCTTCCCTGATGGGGTCTGAATGATTAAAAATCAAGAGCATTGGCCCTTCCTTTCTTCAACTGGTGAGTCCTGTGTGGGAGTCGCTGCTTTGAATGTAGACATGTTTGGGGGTAGCATAAGTATCTGTTAACTGACTTGGACAGATGACACATCCCTGTTCATCTGTATTCCCTCAGGGCTTGACTAGTGACCAGGCAGCACGCCAGCACAGGGCAATCTGGACAGGCCTAGGAGGCCAAGACTGGGATAAAAACAGACTTCCTATGCCATAGTTCTGCTTTAGAGCTGGATCGGGCATGAGCGCTGGCTACTGACTACAGTTTACCAGAGAAAACATTTAAAAGTATTCACAACATAGTCTTGTATCCAGTTTTGGGGAAAATGAAACAGATTTTTTTTCTCAGATACTTTCTGTCATTTGTATGAGGTCCCCAAAGGGTTCATAGAATGTGAAGCATTTGTTCTAACAGATTTCTGCCTTAGCTTGGGTCACTTTGGTGCTATGGGTTATCTGTAATGTCACTGTGAGTTTATCCATTTATTGTGCTATTCTACCTTCTTCACTTATTTCTTGTGTCTATGTTCTATCTCTTCAGCTGCTGGGTTTCAGAAAGCACTGGACAATAATAGCATGCCTTTTATTTCTTGTGTGTAGCATGTCAGTGTTTAATACGGGGCCTCTCACAAAACAGGTATTCAAAAAATAATTTTCTAATAAACTCTTGGCTATTAATTTTTTGTGTGGTCAGGTAACATATGAAAAATAATTAACACAGTGCCAGGTATGTGGCAGGCACTCAATGAACATTAAACAAAAAAATAAAGAATAAGACATAAAAACCAGGTGAAACAATTAGCCTTATTTTCTTTGGTAAAAAACATAATGAAATTGTAATTAACAAAAGAGCATATAGCTTCATTGGTCAGGCTCCTGTAAAGTCCAATGTTGACTCACTGACTGGGGGACTTCCAACCCAGGGTGCTCTTGGAACCTTTTGGGTGAGTTAATAAATTGATAAAGGCTTTCTTCTGCCTGTTAGCCAAACCTGGGGGGAGAAAGGTAAAACTAAAAACAATGCTGAAATACATCAAAGGTAGTGCTATATTTCGATGGGAGGATCTCCTGAAAGTAAAATGTTTCACCAGGTGATTTAGTCTACCAAATGCTATCAATCCATTTGAGTGCGCGTGTGTATGTGTGCTTTTTGTGTGCGTGTGTGTGTGCGCGTGTGTGTGTGTGTGTGTGTATGCATGCCTGTGCATTGTTTGGAACAGAAGTTAGGTAAGAAGGCAAGAAAGTAAGAGGGTAAGAGGAGGAAGGACATACTGGCAGCTTTGGATGTTGACTTCCAATATGGGAGGAGCAGAGAAGTTATACAGGAATTCCTCTACAAATTAGACTTACATGGGAAGGGTCTCTAGGTAAAACCAGTTGTCCTATTTGCTGGTATTCAGTGAATATTTTTAAAGGCAATGGCCCAGGCAAATATGCAAGTGACTTGCTTTGCAGGTGTAGTTTCCTGTGGCACCACTGGAGTTCTACCCTGCTTCTGTCTTCCCCAGGAGGAATGGGTCTCCCAGGTGTTCCAGCCCCCACTGTCCTCCTGGCATCGATAGTGATATGAGGTCACCTTTGCTCTTGGTACTTTTATCCCCTACAGGTATTATGCATCGGTAGCATGCTGCAGATTGTATGGAGTGTAAAAAGGGCACAGTTTTTGTGCCAGCATCAAGAAGGCATATGTGCACAGAGAAGTCTCAGTCTAAATAAAATAGAAGTGATGGTGAGGGATTTGAATATCTTCTACATATTATAGTTTCTCTTCTGCTAAAAACACCCTGATACAACTCACATACATTACATTAAAAAAATACTTGTTAAGTAATGTGTTTTGGCTGAGCACGGTGGCTCATACCTGTAATCCTGGCATTTTGGGAGGCTGAGGCACTTGAGGTCAGGAGTTCAGACCAGCCTGGCCAACATGGTGAAACCCTGTCTCTACTAAAAATACAAAAATTAGCAGGGCGTGGTGGCGGGTGCCTGTAATCCCAGCTACTCATGGGGCTGAGGCAGGAGAAATGCTTGAACACAGGAAGTGGAGGTTGCAGTGAGCTGAGATTGCATCACTGCACTCCAGCCTGGGCAACAGAGCAAGATTCTGTCTCAAAAAAATGAAATAAAATAAAATAAAAAAATAAATAATGTGTTTCTTTTCCAGTATAAGCAGTTAGAAGATAAAATCTAAAAACATCTGAATATATTAGAAAAGCTGGATAATTAATAAATCTTTATGGAAAGTAAAGGTCACCTTAAATTTTATTATTGATTACTCAAAAACCAATTCTGGAATAACACAGTATAATTTAAATTCATCTCAATAAATAATTTAAATAATTTTGTACTTTGATGTATAGCACGATTTAGATTTTGACGAGTTATGATTGTAGCTAGATTTTATCATTCCAAGAGCCCTCATGTCAAAGCCGTCTTGCTTCTGTTAAAAAAAAATTTAATTTACCTGTTTGTAATGGTTACAAGTGCAGGAGGACAGTAATAACCACTGGAAGCTTGGTCAAAGCTTCGAAGGACTGTGTCAATTTTGTAACAGAATCCACCATGTCTCTCCCATCCCTTAAAAAGAATCAAAGGGAAATTAAGGACACAATCTGATTTAGTTAAATACCAAGAGATATTTTTGCATACTCTTTTACCACCTACATGACTGTCTTCTCTTACTCCTTTAAAACTCCTTGAATTTTCGTCTTGATATTTTTATATTTCTTCTATCTGGTAACACCATTAACTATAGCCACTTCTACATTTATTTGATTTATTATCTTAAAACGTAAAATTTTTAATTTACTTAAAATGTGAAACCTTAAAAGTAAATGAAAATAAAGGGCACTCATTCGAGATCTCTGCCCCTCTCTCTCTCTCTTTCTCTGTCTCTGTCTCTCTCTCTCTTTCTCTCTCTCCCCCCCCCCGGCCCTTACTTACAGAATTTCATATAAATGGCCCTGACAGGAGGGTAGAAATTAAGTGTTGGCTCTAGGGTCAGGATGCGTGGGTTTGAATTCTGGCTCCACTACTGTGCAACCTTGTTTAATATCTTAGTTTTTTCATCTATACAATGAGGATAATAATAGTATTTATGGGGCTGTTCTGAGAATCAGAGAAGGACAATGCAGATAGAGATTTCAGAATTGAACAGAGGGGAAAGAGAACATGAACAAAGAGAATATATATCTAGATAATATTATAGATTTTTCCAACTTTCATATTGATTATTTCATGTTATCCCACTGAGATTCATTGAGATTAGGGACTTGGATAAAGTCAAACTAGTGGATCAGCTGGGCCTGAAACCCAATTCTGGCATAGTCCAGGATGGTCTTGTTTGGAGCATAATGCTTCCAAATAGAAAATGGCCAATATATGTATTTTTTCTTTTTTTTTGGTAAAGATTATTACTAAATTAACTGGCTCGCCTTTTAGAGGGGAAGAAAGTAAGCTTTGGCACTCAGACAAAAATGACAAACACGCAGGTCTATGTCTTAACCCTGGGAACAATGAAGGGTGGCTCTATTCTTTGAAATCATGCAGTACAGTCTACAGCCATACCACCCTGAACGTGCCCGATCTCATCAGAAATCATACAGTATGAAAGACATACATTCATTAGTCCTCTATATTTAAACTGAGCTATTTTAGTTGTTTTTTTCCCAATATTATGATCACATGATTTTTATCTATTTTAATTTATTCACCAGTTTTAAAACACTCTTCATTTTATGCTATGCCAATACTTGCCAGCTTTTGATCAGTCATAACATGATTTCTCATAAATTTCGGAAAAGATTTTGGTCTTGCGGTAAATTAAAGAAAACCTTAATTTAGAAATCAGCTATGTTAGTTCAAACATATCATTAACTGAGGTGGGAAGCACAGGAGCTCCCACATCCAGCCATCTAGGATCTGCTCTGAACTCACTCTCTTTCACCTCTATTCCCAGTCTTCTCTCTGTGAGTACCTGACAGCTCCATACAGCTCCTTCAGGCATCCCTCCAGGATAGGAGCAGGGATGTTAGACTGCTCCTGCACTTGGAAGGACAGGGAGAGGGAGGCTGGCAATCTGACCTTTCTGATAATGTATTTCTTCTTCGTTAGAAGTTTTTAGATCATAGGCTGCTTAGCAAAGCAAACAAACAAAAAAATCCAGTAACTGAACAGGCTCAAGAAAAGGGAGGGAAAAATAGATCTGGCATAGAATAGTCAGAAAAACAGACTTGTTACTTCAAGGCTTTGTCCACACAATGAATGCGGGAAGGATAACTGAGTATATAAGTTAACCCTTTGTACACTAGGTGCTATTTCATTTTTAAATGAAAGGATGGTGGTGACAAGACTGAAGGAATTGCTCATATTGTCCAACCCCAAAAAAGTGACTCAGAAGGAAAAACAAATCACTTTTTTTTTTTGCTTTGAAATTATCAAGATTGATTTTACAAATTGATTTTTCAAGTGCAGACTGTTTAGAGAATTGCATTGAAGCAACGTTCTAAGAAAGGGAAAACTTTCAAAACCATATTCATAGACTGATGCATAATAAAATTAATGGAAATTTCCTTACAAAGCTAGAGAACTGGCTATGAACTCAGAAACTTTAAATACTGGTAATGCCGGCTGGAAAAGGGAAGCAGTGAACAAAAGTTTGAATAGAACATCAGTTCTGTTTCTGCAGTGTAAAAAGTTAATTGTCCTTTCAACAAAAATAAAACACGTTGAGTTTCCCGGGAAGCCACAGTAAGACAAATACCCCCACCCTCGCCCCTGCCCCGTCTTCAATATTTCAGATCAGGTAGAGATTAATCAGATATCAGCTATAATTCAAAATTGTAATCATTAGATAAAATGGTGACATGTCAGCTATGGCACATCTGTTATCCAGCTAGAGTATGAAGAGTAGTTCACATGTTAACACATTGATTAACGAATAAAATGAAGATTCTAAGGGGATGGGTCATTGTTCAATTGCAACACAAATAACTGGATTAGAAGAGAAAATAATTAAAGGATAGTTGCATAAAAACCAGGTCTGGAAAACTGTTGAGACTGATACAGCATAGTTCACTCTGACTCAGAGGAACACAATTGTTTTCTGACATCTCACTTGAAAATTAGGAAAACCATAGGTCAGGCACAGTGGCTCAAGCCTGTAATCCCAGCACTTTGGGAGGCCGAGGAGGTAGTTCACTTGAGGTCAGGAGTTCGAGACCAGTCTGGCCAGCATGGCAAAATCCTGTCTCTACTAAAAATACAAAAATTAGCGAGGCGTAGTGGCGCATACTTGTAGTCCCAGCTACTCGGGAGACTGAGGCACGAGAATTGCTTGAGCCTAGGAGATGGAAGTTCAGTGAGCCAAGATCGCACCACTGCACTCCAGCCTGGGTGACAGAGCAAGACTCCATCTCAAAAAAAAAAAAAAAAAAAAAAAAGAAAGAAAACTAGGAAAATCAAGTGTGAGACAGGGCATCACACAGACAGGATAGTCACTGTACAGATGCTGTATCAGGACCATTTACATTTTTAATCTCAAAAGAAAAGCAATCCCGTGTAGAAGATAGCAAGACAATGTTTCTCAGGACAAAAAAAAAAGAGGAAAGGAAAGAAGGGGGGTTGGGAGAGAGAGAGAGCAAGAGAGGAGAGAGAGAGATAAAGAGAGAGAGAGGAGAAAGAGAAATTCACTTCAAATTGATGGTGGAATTGATATCTAGCTATGAAGTTCCTGTACCTAAATTGCAATGTTAACAGCATTTACCTCTTGACATCCTGATTCAGCATCAGAGAGGACATGGCCTGCTTTTTTACAAATGTAAAAAAGTGTTTCTTCACAATTTTTGACTTTCCAGTGTCCCTCCTATGGAGAAAAATGTTACAAGAGAATGAATACACTCTGTGCTGATGCTGGTGGGCCATAGCAATTCTTACAAATAAAAATATGATGAATAATGTGCTCCCGCATGGGATAATGTTTCAGGCAGCACCCCACTTTGTCATGGAAAGGGTTCACACTTTCTCTAGGGATGGGAGGCCCCTCTCTTCAGCACGAGTTCCAAGGTGTTCAATCTGTAACTGAGTGGGCGGGAGAGAGGAAGCAACTATCAACAACTGGTGCTTCTTGATAGCCGCCATGTGCTGGCTTAATGCAGGGCGATTTTCATCTATTATCTCAATGCTCCAGTGAGGTAGGGATTATTATTCCCATTTTAAAGGTTAGAGTTAGCATTTTACATGGTCCTAGAGTCAGTAACAATTGGAGCTAGGATTAATACAAAGGTCAGCCTGGCTTTCCATTAAGCTGTTCTCAATTTTTCTGTGAAAAGATGGGATAGAGCCACGGTTCTCAATCTTGAGTGTGCTCCAGAAGCACCTGGAGGGCTAACTGAAACCTAGCTGACCGGGCTGCAAGACCAGTGTCTCACTCAGTAGGTCTGGTGGGACTTGAGAATTGGCATTCCTAACAAGCTTTCAGGTGGTGTTAATGCTGTTGGTCTGGGGGTGACACTGTGAGAACCACTGGGATGAAGCCATCCTCCTGACCAAGTGAGAGTGCTGATACCTCTCTTCAACCAATTCTAAGTGTTACATTAAATGCTTTGCTGCTTTCATGTCTCTACCTGATGCTGGGGAAATTCCTAGAAGCTACCATGAAGCACCCTAGGTAATACTGGCATAGATGAAATTCACGTTCACCCTTCAATGATCCCTCCATCAGGAATTCAAACAGCACCACCCCATCTCCTCTTTATATGCTAGGCAGATACTTTCATGTTTTTCTGTAATCCTATTGAAGGCTACTCTCAGATCTTTCATTAATAATGATATAATAATTGCTAACAGATTAAAATTTTACCTTCCTGTAGGATTTTTTTTAATAACACAAATCAGAACCTTAGGCTAAAGTTACACAATTCAAATTCCAGGTGGTATTTCACACATCTAGAATTTTAGGGGAATGTGGAGCCCTTCCATGACCCTTAGAAAAATACAACATCCAGGGCTGACACCTTCATCTGTAAGAGGAGCCCTGCATCGCTCCCCCAGGGAGTCTTCCAGCAAACCATCCAGTTACAGGATAGTGTCAGGCATTCTGTAGTTAAGAACTGTTAGATGAATGGAAGAACAAATGAATTGTTTCCTAGGCTCTCATATTCAAATTTGTGTCAACTGTGATTTGTTAACTTGTTAATTATAATAATTATATTCATACTGAGTTCTACTCCAGGAAATAAATGTTATTTTTTATACATCTACTATTCAAGGAGCTTCTGAGTTGCCAGAAAAGGGGCCACAAAATATTACACTTATGGCAGCATTGTCCTGACATGTCCAATACTATTAATACCTATCCTCAATCTCTTAAAAAATAATCTCTGTCCAAATATTGGTTCCTGTTCTGTAAACTTGCAGAGCAACATACCCATGCCTGTCAATAAGAAATGATCACCTAAATTATATCAAAACTAATGAACCAATAAATCAGCAGATACTGTGGAATAAACTGTGGTGGGCCAGGCGCGGTGGCCCACGCCAGTAATCTCAACACTTTGGGAGGCTAAGGAGGGTGGAGTCCAGGAGTTTGAGACCAGCATGGGCAACATGAAACCCCACCTCTACTAAAAGTACAAAAATTAGCCAGGCGTGGTGGTGCAGGCCTGTAATCCCAGCTACTCGGGAGGCTGAGGCATGAGAATCACTTGAATCCAGGAAGTGGAGGTTGCAGTGAGCTGAGATCGCACTACTGCACTCCAGCCTGGGTGACAGAGTGAGACTCTGTCTCAAAAACAAACAAACAGACAAACAAACAAACAAAACATTGTGGTGAATTTCAGCAGAGCTAGACCCAAGACAAACATTGAGAGGTATGTTTCTCCTTCTTCATATGGGGCTGAGAGACACGGCCTTAGCATGTATAACTGTTACTGCACTGTACAATTGTAATTGTCTGTGCTAGCATTAAAAGATGAAACCATGAAACATGTCACAAAAGTTAAGTGCTCAGAAATGCTTCCTGTTTGGCTGGCATAATTACTTTGTCAAGCCATGTCAGTAACATTTAATAAACTGCCTCTTGGGGGAACTTGACAGAGTATCCCGGTGGTTAGAAGAATAAGGACATCTACCAAGTCCCAACAACCTCCTAAAACTCAGCCACTGTATTCAGCCGCTATCTTGATCAAAGAGATTAAGTCTGTTTTAGGCATAATAAACTATTCAAATGGCTTGGGATTAAACTAATTCTGTATAATCAGATGTTTTAGATAAATGAGAGACTAGAACATAGGGATGAATGTGGTGTTCAGACTACTGGGACCACTCCATCCACGTGAGGAAAAGAGCAAGACTTGCCACTGATCCATAATTTTCAAAGAGGTTACACATACTGTTTAAATCCTTTTATGTGAATAAGATAAAGGAGCTTAAAAACCATCACCCTCCAGAGTAATCTTCCATCCCTCAGTTCTTCCCCTCATCTTCATCACGGCAGTCAATGGCACCACCATTCACCAAAACCGTGGTTGCTCAAGCCAAAAGCTGACCTCTCTCCCACCCCAACATCTAACTTAGCAACACCTCCTGTTCTCCAAAGCACACTTGGATCTGTCCACTTCTCTTCACAGTCACTACCCTAATTCAACTCTGGTGTAGCCTCCAAACTGGCTTTTCTGCTTCCATTTTATCCCTCTCCTAACCATTTTCTGTGTAGCAGCCACAGTTAATTTTAAAATGTAAATCAGATCATGCCATTTGTTCCCTTGAAGCACTTTATTGATTACTGTACCACAGTCTAGAAACCTGGCATTTTAGAATTCCTACTGCCCGTCTCTTACGACCTCCTCACCACTGGTCTCCTTTTTGATAATTCAACATAGCAAGTCTTGGTCTGTCTTTGGGCCTTTGCACTTGCTACCCTCTGCATGTTCTGCTTAGAATATTCTTCCCCCTTCTCTCTGAGAGTTTTTTTTTTTTTTTTTTTTAAGTCCAAGCTTAAATGTCAACTTTTCAGAAATGCTTTCTGTGACTATCTTATCCTTCCCCAACCCAAGCTTTTCACTATCATGTCACATATTTCCTTGGAGCAATCATTACAACTATAATTACCATGTTTTTTCTGTGTGTACTTGTTTACTCTCTAACATGGAAGGCCCATGAGGAGCAGGGATTGTGCCTATCTTGGTCTCTGCCATAGCCCAAGGCTCCAGCATAGGTGGCCTTCAGTACAAGACCAGTAAAGTGAACACTGAACAAATGAATTGACTTACAGACTGCTCTGCTGAGACACACAGCTGGCTTCTATTTGGAAAAATTTGCGGCTCAAGTGTGTGCCAATTAGTAAAGATGACTGAAGAGTCACTAGACCATTCAAAGGAAACTGGAATTTTATTGCTGCTCAAACCAATCCATGTTTCTGATGCATTTTCTGTAAGAGATAAATGTAAATTACTTACGGGATCCTATTATTTGCAAAGGAGATAACACCCTGGAGTTACTACCAAAATATACCACTTCACATGTGATTTCTTCTTTATTTCTTTGCATAATGAAATCTGTTTAAGTCTTGGCATAAAATGTCTGTTTAAACATTTTCCCCTCTCTGCTATGGTTTGAATGTTTGTCCCCTCCAAAATTCAGGTTGAAACTTAATCCCCAATGTGGCAATATTGAGGGGGAGCCTCTAAGGGTCGAGTGGGTCATGAAGGCTCTGCCCTGATGAATGGATTAATGGGTTAATGGATTAACTAGTTCTCATGGGAATGGTACTGGTGGCTTTATAAGAAGAGGAAGAGAGACCTGAGATAGCACACTCAGCCCCCTCTCCATGTGATGCCCTGTGCCACCATGGGACTCTGCAGAGAATTCCCACCAGCAAGGAGACCCTCTCCAGATGTGGCCCTTTGACCTTGAACTTCCCAGCCTCCATAACTGTAGGAAATAAAGTTCTTTTCTTTATAAATTACTCAGTTTCTTTGTATTCTATTATAATCAATAGAAAATGGACTAAGACACCCCCATAATATCCAGATCTGCTTGATATAGGCCTTATAAGTGAGGCAGAGTGTGAGCCAAAGCCAATGCAACAACAAAGCCTAAGCAAGTTGGATTCCTGGGGCTCTGATTTCTGCTAGAATCATGTATGTACGTTAAGTAGATCTGAAAAGTCTGGTTTTGCTTCTGCCTAGAGAAAGGAAAAATAGGAAGACCCACTGGATTATGAAAAGGGCATGAAACAAACTTTTAATGATAGTCTAGCTTAAAGATAAGTTTTTCCCCCCCCCCAACAGATGTTGGTGAGGATGCAAAAAAAGGAACACTTATACATTATTGGTGGGAATGTAAATTAGTACAACCTTTATGGAAAACAGTATGGGGATTACTCAAAGAACTAAACATAGAACTACCATTCAATCCAGCAATCCCACTACTGGATATATACCCAAAGGGAAAAAAATCATATCAAAAAGACACCTGTACTCATATGTTTATCACAGCATTATTCACAATAGCAAAGATGGAATCATGTAAGTATCCATCAGAGGAGGGCTGGATAAACAAAATATGGTTTTATATATATATACACACACACATATATATACACATATATACACATATATGCATATATATACACATATATACACATATATGCATATATATACACATATATACACATATATGCATATATATACACATATATACACATATATATGCATATATATATACACACACACACATCACGGAATACTACTCAGCCATAGAAAAGAATGAAATCATGTCTTTTGCACACAGGTAGCACTTGAGGCCATTCTGCTAAGTGAAATAACTCAGAACATCAAATACTACATGTTCTCATTTATGGGGGGAGCTAAACAATGGGGACACATGGAGATACAGAGCAGGATAATAAACACTGGAGACTCCAAAAGGTGGTAGGGGTGAGGCTGAGGGTTGAAAAATCACCTGTTGGGTACAATGTTCACTATCTGGGTGATGGGACCGCTAAGAGGCCAGATTTCACCACTGCAATATATGCATGTAAGAAATACTCACCTGTACCTCTTAAACCTATTTTTTAAAGTATGTTTTTTCCTTTTTCTTTTTTCTGCCATGAGAAAAAAGGAGCAAAACCTCTTAAAGGAATTGAAGTGGAGTTGCTGGAAAAGGAATTAAAACTTGACAGCCTAGGTAGGAAAGGACCCTATGTGGCTGAAAGAGATGTGTAAGTGCCCTTGTTGAGATAAGCAGCCCACAGGGTTCTTTAATCCCAAATGCAAAGGATTAGGAAAAATAACAGAGAAGGATGCATGTTTTCACTCCATACTAAAACCTAACAATTGAAAATGTCATCAAAGTAGATCCTGGAAATTTTTTTGTATTTTTAAAAACTGAAAAATGAAATAAATAATTTCAGTATTTTTCAGCAGAAGTCTATGTCAAATGCATGACACATTGAAGAGCAAGCCAACTCTGATGGACTCAGGCTGGGTGGAAGCCAGGAGCCTAAAACTCCTATACATGGGGAACAGTCTGAACATCACCTCACCAAATAAATTACCCATGTTCACCGGCTAAAATTGTTTAAATCCAATTATTTGCCTAAGGGGTTCCCTTTAGTATGTGGATTACTTGATAACAACACACTACTGCTATCTAGTGGCCATAAAGCTAAATTACAGGTTTAGGTTTTTCACTAGAAGTTTTAGGAAATGAACTTTCCTACTTTACAAAAAAGTTAAAAATCATCTAATAAATGTGGCATATATGAAGATGTTACGAAGTTTCTGAACATGTATTTTGTAAAAATCCAATAAATTTGAACTCCTGAATAACATTTAGAAACTTTAAATATATGTGTCATGAATAACCACTTTTAAATAACTTAAATTTCTTTTCAACTCTACTAATAAAAGTAGTTACTACATTATATTTTATACCTCTTAAACCAAAGGCAGCTGGGACTCACCATCTCCAAGGAGGGTTACAAGAAACTCCACCTCTGCTAATGAGGTTATATCTATTAATGCACTGTTATCAGCCTGACAGGAACGCAAAGCCTTATGCCAGGTCTTTTCTTCTTTCTGAAGTTTGTAGCAATTACGATTGTAGGGATTCCAGCCAGGCTCACAGTGGGTAGCATAATATTTCCACGCATCTTTTTCTTTTTAAACCAACAAAAAACAATGTCATTTTCCACAATTATTTTAACATTACTTATTACAGTTTATGTAAATTGCCATTTATATGATTACTTTAAAAATGTGAAAAACAGAAATATACAAAATGACATATATCATGGAATTCTAGATCTTCAGAGTTGAGAAGGGTCTAATCTATGATCTAGATCTAGATCTAGGATAAAATGAACCTCAGTATTTCATTTTCCAGATGAGCTAGTGAAGGTACAAAGAAGTAAGGAGAGGAGGGATGGCAGCAAAATGGCCGATAGAGACACCTGTGTCAGAAGCCTTTGAACAACAGCAATTCCATCTTGTTTAGGGGCTGAGTAAAATAAGGCTGAGACCTACTGAGCTGCATTTCCAGAAGGTCAGGCATTCTACAAGATGAGACAGAAAGTCAACACAAAATACAGGTCACGAAGACCTTGCTGATAAAACAAGCTGCAGTAAAGAAGCTGGCCAAAACTCATCAAAACCAAGATGGTGAGGAAAGTGAGCTCTGGTGATCCTAGCTGCTCATTATATGCTAATTATAATGTATTAGCATGCTAAAAGACACTCCCACCAATGCTATGACAGTTTACAAGCCATGGCAACATCAGGAAGTTACCCTATATGTTCTAAAAGGGGGAGGAACCCTCATTTCCGGAAATGGTATACTCCTTTCCCAGAAAACTCATGAATAATCTACCCCTTGTTTAGCATATAATCGAGAAAGAACTGTAAGTGTAATCAGCTGAGCAGCCCAAGCCGCTGCTCGGCCTCTGGAGTAGCCAATCTTTATTCCTTTACTTTCCTGATAAACTTGCTTTCCTTTTATGGATTCACCTCCAATTCTTTCTTGGGGTCTGGATTGGGACCCCTTTCTGGTAAAACCTGGCACTCATCCCTGCTATAGGAACAGCCAAAGCAACGAATAAATGATTACATTTTCACAAAGGCAGCTGAAAGAGAGTGCTGGAGCACATCAAGGGAGTAGCAGAAACAACATGGAGCACAGAAACCCTTGCCACCTCCACCCCGACAATCTCCCCCAGTCCCCGTTGGAAGCAGCTTAGAGCCAGGAGAGACTTCTCCCTGTAAGGAAAGTATGAGCAAGAGGACCCCAGCAGCCTCCAACACCACCAGGGTCACCTACAGTCCTTGCTACTGGGGACCCCTGCAGCCTTCACAGACACTAAGCCCAGTTGAGGGGGCTGCCTGGAGTCTACAGGACTATGCTTGCCCCAGAGAAAGTTCTGACGCTGTACCCTGTCTCTCTGTGGCCTGTGGGGCTATTGTGCTGCACCATCTTGAAAAAAGAACCACTGCTAGAATGTCATGTTCTGCTCCGGTAGTGAGTAGCCACAGCACTTCTCCATCTTTGAGGCTTTGTAACCACTGCACCACTTCTACCTCGTGGCCCACCAACCCCATGCCAAATTGCTGTGGGGCTCTCACTCTACCTGGCGTGGCCAAGTTGCCATGAGCTGCTCTATTTACCTTTCCTGGTTGTTGCTGTGCCATGCCCCTCAGAGCCTGAGCTGGCTTATCACCCTGCCTCCAAAGAAATGGTGCCTTGGCCTCCCAGAGTAGTCATATTCCCCAGTATGTGTGCTGAAGTGGCGCCCTGCCTCCCAGGGAATCCCTGCCCTGGCTGCCGAGAGCAGTCACACCTCTGGCACCTGAGCTGAAGTGGCTCCCAAATCCAGGGGAAACAGTGCTTTAGCTGCCCAAAGCAGTCATACCCCCCAGCACCTAAGCTGAAGCAGCCCCATCTCATGGGGGAATGGGTGCCTTGGCTGAGCTGAGCAGCTGTGCCTCGTGGGGCTTGGCTGATGTGGTACCCTGCATCCAATGGAAACAGCATTGGCAAGGCTGGGACATCCTGCCCTCCAGGCCAAACAGCTGTAGCACCCTGCTTTCCTGGAACTGGACTAGTCCCACAAAGCCTGAACTGCTGAGGCACCCCGCCTTCCCCGGGAGAGGAGTCATCATTTTGCTGCTCCTTGCCCCCCAGGAAACAGGCCATAGCTATATGCCACCATTCCTGGGTCCTTGTTGCTACTGAACCTGACCTCACAGAGTCTGAGATTCTGCTATGTCCCACCATCCCAGGGTCCGGAGTCACCACTGCCTGGTGCTTCACCCCTAGAGCTGGAGTTGCCACAGTGCCATACTGGTTCTGGTTCCCAAATTACAGCCGTGCGCTGTTCCCTGGAGCCAAACCTCCAGAGTACCCCTTCTTCCTTGGAGGTAAATATATAGTCAAATTCAGAATGTTCAAATACTGTAATGGTGGTCTGTAAATCATTTATATCTCCAGTATGAAGATTAAAGTCAAAATTGTCAAAAATAGGTTGGGCACAGTGGCTCACGGCTGTAATCCCAGCACTTTGGGAGGCTGAGGTGGGAGGATTAGTTGAACCCAGGAGGTCGAGCTATGATCACGCCACCATATTCCAGTCTGGGCAACAGAGCAAGACCCTGTCTCTAAAACATAAATAAATAAGTAAATAAATAAATAAATAACCAAAATGCTAAAACATAACTATAGCTACAATAAATTAAGAAATACACAATATTAAAAGATGTAAATAGTGACATCAAAATTTTAACTATTGGAGGTAGGGTAAAAATCTAAAGTGATTGTATGCAACTAAAGTTAAGCAGTTATCAGTGTAAAACAGTCCATTATAACTACAAGATGTTTTATGTAAGCCATATGATAACCACAAAGAAAAAAAAAAAAAAACTATAGCAGATACACAACTGATAAAGAGAAAGGAATTGAAATTTAGCACCACACACACAAAAAAATCACCAAATCACAAAGGTAAACAATAAGAGAGGAAGAAAGAAAAAAGAATCTATAAAACAAGCAGAAAACAATGAACAAAATGGCAATAGTAAGTCTTTACCTATCAATCATTACTCTGAATGCAAATGGATTAAATTGTCTAATCAAAACACAGAATGGCTGAACGGATAAAAGGTTACTAGGAGTCAAAGAGAGAAAATGAGCAGAGGTAGGAAAAAGGATACAAGTAGCAGATCTGTAGGATGAACAAGTCTAAAGGTCTACTGTACAGCATGAGGACTATAGTTAATATAGTGTATTCAGGATTCTTGATAAATGAGTAAACTATAGTTGCTCTTGTCACAGTGGGGGAAATGGGTAACTAAGTGAGATGATGCATGTGTTAATTTGTGTCACTAAAATAACCATTTTACTATATATATATATATATATCCTATGACATCATATTGTATACTTTGAACATATATAGTATATTTTATTTTAAAAAAAAGTAAAAAAGTAAAACAAACAACAACAACAAAACCAAAGAAGTAAAGAGACTTGACAAAGGACATACAATGAAAGCAGGGTGTTGGGACTAGGTATAAAATTTAAGAAAGCTGTTCACTTTTGAAACCTTTTTACATTTAAAAGAAGTATTATGGAATACAATTTAAACGGCATTTCAGGGATTTTATACATAGTGTATGGGTGAGGTAGATATTTATCCCCAGCTGAAAAGAGCCTAAAACTCTGATGACTTCCTCTAAAATGGGGATGACAAATAGGTTTCACTTTGAAGACAAGTCTTGAGTGTCCACGGTGTTGCTCTGGGCTGATACGGATGCCAGGTGGGGCTTTCAGGAACACAGTGCCATGATGCTTGGACATTGGAGGGCAGTGGTGATGCACATGCTATATGTTGGTTTTCCTTTCTTGCGAGACTGTCCCCTATCTGATGATGGCATTTTTTGCCTTATTTTATTAACCACAACGAGGTGCCTCCATTAAGAACGAATTTAAACTAAATATGATTTCACTGTGGGAAACAAAACATTCTTTTAAAATTGTTTCTAGGACTCTGACAGCAATTGGAATCATGGCCAAAGAGTGTTAGAATTTTGTATATCATTGACCCCAATGGTTTTCAGCCTAAAAAAGTACTCATGACACCCTTTTTAAACTTGGAATTTTAGGCTGCGCGTGGTGGCTCACGCCTGTAATCCCAGCACTTTGGGAGGCTGAGGCGGATGGATAGCCTCAGGTCAGGAGTTTGAGACCAGCCTGGTGAACATGGTGAAACGCTGTTTCTACTAAAAATACAAAAATTAGCTGGGCATGGTGGTAGGTGCCTGTAATCCCAGCTACTTGGGAGGCTGAGGCAGAATTGCTTGAACCCGGGAGGCAGAGGTTGCACTGATCTGAGATCGCGCCATTGCATTCCAGCCTGGGTCACAAAAGCAAGACTTCAATCGATCCGCAGAAGAATGTGTTGAACTTGAAGCAAAGCCAATAATCCAAACAAGCTAACTTAACTACTCCCATTTCTGGTCTTCTGACCTCAATTAGCAGACCAGAAGGATAAATATAACAGAAGAAATGAAGGGTGGCAGGAGGGAATGCAAGATAGCATAAGAAAGAAAGAAAAAATGAAGAGAGAAGGAATGGAGAAAGGAATATGAAAGAAGGAAGAGAGGGAGGGAAAAGGACAATAACAGGTGGTAGCAATTTCAGCAAATTCCTGAAATAATGGACAAATCTCTACATTAAAAAATGGCAAGATGCTTCTTTTTTCCCCAACTTGTACCCCATATTCTACAAAACTTCTAGTTAGCTATTTAAAGGAAAATGAAAGTTAAAACCCGATTGTCAGAGACAATATTTAAAAATGATAATTCAGCTTATTATTTTAAATCTAGAGTTTTTCTAATATTTTTGCAATGATTCTTTATAAAATGGTTATATTGGCCGGGCGCGGTGGCTCACGCCTGTAATCCCAGAACTTTGGGAGGCCGAGGAGGGTAGATCACAAGGTCAGGAGATCGAGACCATCCTGGCTAACACGGTGAAACTCCATCTCTACTAACTATACAACAAATTAGCCAGGCGTAGTGGCGGGCGCCTGTACTCCCAGCTACTCAGGAGAGTGAGGCAGGAGGGCTGAGCTTGCAGTGAGCTGAGATTGTGCCACTGCACTCCAGCCTGGACCACAGAGCGAGACTCCGTCTCAAAAGAAAAAAAAAAGTTATATTTTTATCTCTACATTTGGAGTTAAGACATTAATTCTCAGAGAAACTAGAAAGAGGTTATAGACCTGAAAACAGAAATAATTGGACTTCTGGTAGTAGACTGTGATTAGATATTATTTAAGTATTAACTCCATCTAAAAAGTCCTGCATGTGATTTCAGGGAGGAGGGTGTGTTACTAATAAGAGATTCAGAGTGTGCCAGAAAATCAATGAAGTAAATAATTATATAAAATTGTTTTTTAAATTATGTTTAATTTCTAGGGGAACAATAAATAAAACTCAAAACTAGAATAGAAAAAGAAATGTATCTTATTTTTCTAATACAGAGTGACTAAGAGTGCAAATTTTTTAGAAGAGAGGAAGAAAATGTTTGCTATGCTCGGTTTATTTCAGTTTTTTAGTAAAAACCTAAATGCATTTGTTAAAATCACAGTCCCTTTGACATAGCAGATATTATCTAGTTACACATTTTTTCATATAAATATAAACTAGATTTAGCTAAGTTTACATTATGAATTATTAGTAAAAATTAGAGAAATTTACATATATTGAGAGGACAAGTAAACAACACCTAAGAACAACTTAAAATAAAAACACTTACCGACTATTTCATGATCAGTGTGGTTTAGATATTTTTTACATATATATGGCAAGGTGGACTCACAATCCCGACTCCTCCAGGCACTTGGCATAAATGAACTAAATGTTCCACAGTGATTTTCAACAAATGGCTCAAAATTTACATCTGAAAATACAAAGAGTGTGTTTAATATTAGAAGCAAAAGCAGCTAGTTTAATATATATTGAAATGTAGTTTCAGCATCAAGGGGATAGCCTTTTTGCTTGTCATATATAGTAAATCCTGTAAAGATGTTATATCCTATAAGATGTTATCCATGATTTTGCAGTTACAGTCCAGGCATGTCAATTAAATGATTTCCCAAAGATTCCAAAAGACCCAATTTTACTATCTTAAGGTAGAGAGATACTTTGCAATTTGTAGCTATTTTTAAAGCAGCAGACTGGAATCTTGGCTTGTACCCAAATTCTCTTGCAACTTTGGCTAGAAAGCTTATCTTCCTGGATTCTATTTTCTTGTTTGGAAAAACTTGCCTTAAAAGAATTCAGTCAGGTTAAAAAATGTTTACAAACTACTCTCAGAAAAGCATGTCCTATGTGCATGGGAAATGCTGCGGTGTAAGGCTGCAGGATGATGCCACGTGACAAAGGCAAAGAAAACACTGCGGGTACCTGGGCTCCAATTTAGGTAGTTGAGCGGTGTTCCATCAGACCACTGCCAGCCAGCGTGTTCATCCAGCTGATTGAGACCGATCCACACCTCCACTGCCTTACTGCTCATGTGCTCTGAAATGAAAATTATGAAGCTTCAAAAAAAAAAAAAAATCCAGTGTCACACATCTTTCTTGTTCTCCTATTCCTGGATCATGGAGTCAGAAATTAATCCCAGTCAATGATAGGAAAGGTGCAGACAATGCACGTGGTGCTTCTGAGTGATAAAGCAGGCTCCCACCATCTTGAGAAACAGAGCAGGCTCACTGACAGCTGTTTTTCAACTGTGAATGCTTCATGCGAGTACCCAGAAATGTTGCCTTTCACGGTTGTCAATCTAGACAAGGGTGCATGGTTGCACATTTGAGGCCATCTTACTTGAGTGAGCTCATGAACTTAAAGGTTTTATAGGGTGGAGGAGGAGGTGTGCAGGGTCACTCCCAGAAAGTGAACAGAGGCACATCTTCAAAGGTAAAAAAGTGTGCTGGAGTAGATCAAGGAGGGGTGTACAGTGTGAGAGCCACTAGGAGTTGTCTGCTCAACAGGAGGGACCAGAGTGTCTCGGGGCATCCCTAGCAGGTTGGGACCTAAGGCTGTGTGCAGTGCAAACTAGAGGCTGCTTCCACAGCTTGAGGTGGAGGAAGATTTTATGGCAGGCTGGCTCTGTGGCCCCTCCTCTTAACCAGTCCACTACAACTCTAGGTTTAAGGCAATACTATATTTGTTAAAGACACTATGAATAAAAACATGCATTGACGTGCAGAAAAACATAGTTATCAAGATTATAGAATTATGGGAATTTTTCTTCAGTTTTTCTTTCTGTGCACCTAAATTTTAAACATTCTTCCAGAACAAATAGGTACTATTTGTGCAGTAAAAATGAGGGTCGGGGGGACCAAAACCCAGTATCAGAAACGTAATGAAAGTGGCAATTTTGTGACGCTTTGAAATGTTGCCATTTACTCTTTTAATCTACAAAGGAGAGCATTGTTCGCTTACAATTCACCTGCTTCAGAGCGCAATGTATTTTTAGTCAGATGCAGGGGTCCTGCCTGAGATTAAGACCCTGACGGATAAGAGTTATAAACAGGGTGACCGTATGCCCCCGTTTTCCTGGAAAGCTCATGGTTCATGCTGGTAGTTCCAGAATAATTATTAATCACAGTCCCTTTTACTATCAAAAGAGTCTCAGTTTGGATGATAGACTGTATGATTACCCAGGTTGTGAAGGTCATTGTAGTCATATAACAAGGCTGCAGCATCCTCAGCGACTAGACATTTCAATACAATTGTGAAAAACTCAAAGAGCCTAACCCATTTAGGAAAAGAGAAAAAGGTGCTTTATAATTTTGAGATCCCCAGAAATCAATAAACAGAAACAGCATCCTATACGTGGGTTTCACCCTTCCAAGTTTCCATGGCATTCACATGGAATCTCTTTCTAATGTCCATTTGATTATTCCTTTCAATAGCACCATTTGATTAAATCATTTAGCAGGTCTTATGATGATAAGAAGTGAAATGGATTGACAAGGCAGGGAGTAATTTTCACATTTCACATCCAGGCAAGTGCCAAGTGATATTTTAAAATCTAGTTAAAATATTAAAACGTGAATTATTCTTATCTTAGAATTATTTTGAATACCCATTGTGCAATTGTTTCAATAATGCAGATAAAAAATCATTGTGCAATTTATAATCGATGTCTGAAGGCACAAAAAACCATCTATTTATCTTTATGACTAAGCTGGCCCACAATACTGAAATAAGAAACTAGAATTTAAATTCCTTTGGATATTTCTTGGCATTCATGACAGCTTAGATAATTCCTTGTACCATAGTACATGTTCACCAGAATTAGCAAGAAACATTAGATTATTTTCATCATTAAAAAATACCTTGGTTGGAATGAACAAGTTTCTGTCTTTATGAACAGACTTCTGTTTTTCCAAACAATTCCCAAAGACTAAATATAGAACTGAGGTAGTTAAAGCAAAGTCCCTGACATGTCTTATTTTTTTAAATTGTTATTCAAATTTGATGAATAACTCCAGACCTTCTCATGACAGATCCTGGCAGTTAAGATAGATAATTGTAATTCATAAATGGCATGTAAACTTTTATATGAAAACCATTTCAGGCTTATAATGATTTTGAAAATTGATGTTTTCCTGCACTATGACTTACTCAAATCAAATTCAATAATAATTTCTGACTTTTGCACAGCTGTGGGGAAAGGGTAGGCACACATTGCTCATTCATTTCTTACAATCCTTCTGGAAGATATTAATGACTTACAAAAGCTTTAAAGTGTGCTTACTTTTCCATCCAGTGAACACACTTCTGCAAACTTATAAAAAATAATTGGGGAGGTATGCACAAAGCTATGTGCAGGGATGGTTTACAATATCAACAAATAAATAAATAAAAAACAAATGGTTTCATCAATATATCTCTAGTAAAAGGAGATTCGATCAATGTATTACCACTAACCTATACTACTATGTAACCATTAAAAATTATTATGTAGATCTATATTTATAGATACAGGCAAATGTTCATTATATGCAGGTAAATAAAATAACCAGATTACCAAACTGTGTACATAGTTGTTGCTAAATGGTTAACACACACTGAGTGTTTGTTATGTGTGCCAGGCACTTTTCTATGATTTCACCTGTATTAAAATATGTAATCCACACAAGGAATTTGCATTATTATTATTTCCACTTGGTAGAGGGGGAAATTGAGGCACAGAGCGGTTAAATCACTTGCTTGAGTAACCCTGCTACTCAAGTGGTAGAGGCAGGATTCAAACCCAGGTGGCTCCCTGCTCTTCTAACCACTGTGCAATAGCTGCCATGTTTTTATTTATTTTTATTTTTTATTTATGTATTTATGTATTTTGATATGGAGTCTGGTTCTGCAGCCCGGGCTGGAGTGCAATGGCATGATCTTGGCTCACTGCATCCTCTACCTCCCAGGTTCAAGTGATTCTCCTGCCTCAGTCTCCTTAGTAGCTGGGACTACGGGTGTATGCCACCACATCCGGCAAATTTTTGTATTTTTAGTAGAGAGAGGGTTTCACCATGTTGGCCAGGCTGGTCTCGAACTCTTGGCCTCAACTGATCCACCCACCTTGGCCTCCCATAGTGCTGGGATTACAAGTGTGAGCCACTGCGCCTGGCTGCTGCCATGTTTTCATATAATACCATTTTTAATATAGACTATGTATGTACACATGCATTTATATGTTTTTGCAGAGAAAACAGTTATCTCTGGATTACAGAACTATGGGAACTTTTTCATTGGTTTTTCTTTCTATATATCTGAATTTTACAAATTATTCTAAAATAAACATGGACTACATATGCAATAATATTTGAAAAAAACTGGCATCAAAAACTGTTAATGAAAGTGACTAATTTTGTGATATTTTCTAATGTTTCCACAAGTTTTTAAAGAGGTGTGCGTACACACATACAAATACATTTAATCTATAAAGGAAAAGTAAGAGGAGAGTGTAGGAAATGAGTGAAACACAAGTCTTAGTTTACTGGCACAATTCTTTTAACACATTATTGTCTATACTGTTAGTTAACATATATGTGCTTTTGCTTTTCCCACCAAAGTTTAAGATTTTGTTTTTGGGACCCACCAAAAGGCCTATGATGTACCTGCACATGGTGAATGATACGTAAGATTTCGTTTAATTAATAAAATGCTTAATGATTTATTAATGGAAATGGAATGGCTAAGATCTCTAGAAGAGCAAGAAATAGCCCTTAAATTTAGAAATCTTCCAGATTCACCTGTTAGAACTGCAACTCTCCTGAGTCCCTTGCTGTGGCCTCAAATTCTCTTCTCCAAGGGGGAGAAAATAAGAAAGACATCACTGGATGCCAAATGGAATCACTCAAGGTTCATGGAAACATTTTGGGTGAGAGTTTTGGGCCATATTAAGGAAAGAAAAATATTTTCTAAGAGCTTTTTTTTCAGAATATATTTTTGTATATGTGAAATCAGTTAACAACAGTCTTTTTATTGTATCAGTATCAATGTGCATCATCCACCTACTTACCCCTTACGAAATTTTCTTCAGTTTCATCTGTAATACTTAACAGAGCGCCTCCTTGCATCTGGCATGAAGAATGTGCCTCGCTCCAAGAGAGAGATGAAAGCAGGTTGAACTGGTAACAAATGTGTGAATTGAGGTCCTTCTCCCAAATAGTATCACAGCTTACTTCTGCAGAGGCTGGAAACAACGGCCGTTAAATCATCCAAGTCTTATTTTATCTATACAGCAACATATTTGTAACATAAATCTGAACGGAATTATTCCATCTTGCAATCTCTAAAACTTCAGTGCCTTATCTATTCTTGATTAGATCTTTATGATAAAATCTGCATTGCTATCCCATTGTTAAGATACGGTTAAACTCTTTCATGATTTACCTAAGGAAATATAAGAAATCACCTATGAAGAAGCTATAATCCTTTCCAGAGTAATAATAGGAACCAGTTTTAAGAGAAGGAAATGGAAGCGAAGTATTTGTGAAAATAAGATCTGAGTTCTTTTGTTATTTAGAACTTTACATTGAATTAATTTTCGTATAAGGAGTAAGGAAAGGATCCAGTTTCAGCTTTCTACTTATGGCTAGCCAGTTTTCCCAGCACCATTTATTAAATAGGGAATCCTTTCCCCATTTCTTGTTTCTCTCAGGTTTGTCAAAGATCAGATGGCTGTAGATGTGTGGTATTATTTCTGAGGACTCTGTTCTGTTCCATTGGTCTATATCTCTGTTTTGGTACCAGTACCATGCTGTTTTGGTTACTGTAGCCTTGTAGTATAGTTTGAAGTCAGGTAGCGTGATGCCTCCAGCTTTGTTCTTTTGACTTAGGGTTGTCTTGGAGATGCGGGCTCTTTTTTGGTTCCATATGAACTTTAAAGCAGTTTTTTCCAATTCTGTGAAGAAACTCATTGGTAGCTTGATGGGGATGGCATTGAATCTATAAATTACCTTGGGCAGTATGGCCATTTTCACGATATTGATTCTTCCTATCCATGAGCATGGTATGTTCTTCCATTTGTTTGTGTCCTCTTTTATTTCACTGAGCAGTGGTTTGTAGTTCTCCTTGAAGAGGTCCTTTACATCCCTTGTAAGTTGGATTCCTAGGTATTTTATTCTCTTTGAAGCAATTGTGAATGGAAGTTCATTCCTGATTTGGCTCTCTGTTTGTCTGTTACTGGTGTATAAGAATGCTTGTGATTTTTGCACATTAATTTTGTATCCTGAGACTTTGCTGAAGTTGCTTATCAGCTTAAGGAGATTTTGGGCTGAGACAATGGGGTTTTCTAAAGACACATGCACATGTATGTTTATTGCAGCACTATTCACAATAGCAAAGACTTGGAATCAACCCAAATGTCCATCAGTGACAGATTGGATTAAGAAAATGTGGCACATATACACCATGGAATACTATGCAGCCATCAAAAAGGATGAGTTTGTGTCCTTTGTAGGGACATGGATGCAGCTGGAAACCATCATTCTTAGCAAACTATCACAAGAACAGAAAACCAAACACCGCATGTTCTCACTCATAGGTGGGAACTGAACAATGAGATCACTTGGACTCAGGAAGGGGAACATCACACACCAGGGCCTATCATGGGGAGGGGGGAGGGGGGAAGGATTGCATTGGGAGTTATACCTGATGTAAATGACGAGTTGATGGGTGCAGCACACCAACATGGCACAAGTATACATATGTAACAAAACTGCACGTTATGCACATGTACCCTACAACTTAAAGTATAATAATAATAAATAAATTTTAAAAAAAAAAGAACTTTACATTGAAAACTTGTGTCTTTAAAAGTTCATTTTAGTGGATACAAATGTTATTTCAAAGGCATTTCTTCCCAAATACAAAATGCTAAAACAAAAGGATAGAGTAGGAATATAAGTCAATAGTAAACACAAGTTTTCAAATAAACATCAAGCACCGGAACACTGACATATAGTTTAAGAAAATTCTTTCAGCCAAGACGAATAGAAGCAAGATCCACTTGTAAGACACTGGCCGAAGACTGCATAGTATGCTCAAAAGTAAATTAAATAAAGTATGAAATGTGGAGCTGAAGTCCGAAGTGTTTTGAAATAACAGAAAATTAAGACTGAGTTTGGGTGCTTTTGCTAACATTTTAAATCAAACTCCAAGGTGAAAAAAGTAGCCACAATAATGACCGGAAATCAAACTCAAACAGAAAATATCAGAATGCAGAGAATGTGAGCCATACTGCAGCATGACTGAAAACGACTGACAGATAACCAGCTGAAATCTAGGACAGCCTTTCCCAAAGTGTGATCCCCAAAGTAAGACAACTTTAAGAGGCTCCCCAAGAAAATCTGAGACACAATGCATGCATAGGGTTCTCTGGGAAATTCACAACAAATATTAGCATATTCAAGGCTCTGAGAAGTTTTGGAGGAAACAAACATGCTTAATTTTAATTCAGTGCACTTCAAACTTATTTGACAATAAAATCTGTTTTGTTTGTCTTTTTCTCCCTCATAACACTTAGATGGTCCCCTTGGGATATGTGGAAAGTTTATTTTCATGTCTGGTTGCAACACACATTCCAGAGGTTTTAAATCACATATAAATCTAAGGCTGTCTATAGAGTTTCCTGACTGATACATGTGTTTATAGAAGGATCCAAGATTAAAGGAAGGCAGAAGACAAGGCTATCACCAAGTAACACTCAAGGGAAGGAAAAAAAAGAAAGGAAAAAGAGAAGGGAAATTTTCAGTAACCATTTTGCCCTGGTGGCTGAAATTTCCCAATTGAGATGGAATCCTTGATTGTTTTCAGTTAAAATGCTAGGCCTTCCCTGAGATGGACAATATGCTACTACGTGTTATGAGACACTAGTTCAGCCATACTCACCCACCATGACAGCTGAGACCATGATGGGGGAGCGGGGGTGTGTTCATAGTTTTGGCGTGCATAAGAATCATTTAGGACAGTCACAGTGGCTCATGCCTGTAATTCTAGCACTTTGGGAGGCTGAAGTGGGAGGATCACTTGAAGTCAGGAGTTCGAGACCCGCCAGGTCAACAAAGCGAGACCCTATTGCTACAAAAAGAGAAAGAAAGAGGCTGGGTGTGGTGGCTCATGTCTGTAATCCCAGCCCTTTGGGAAGCTGAGCCCAGGAGTTCAAGACCAGCCTGGGCAACATGGTGAAAATTTTTTGAGTGCTGACATGACACCACTTGATCTTGTGTGATGGGTTTTGGTCAATACTTTGTTTCATGCACAAAATTATTTTAAATATTGTATAAAATTACCTTCAGGCTATGGGTATAATGTATATATGAAACATAAATGAATTCTGTCTTTACACTTGGCTCCTGTGCCCAAGAAATCTTATTATGTATATGCAAATATCCTAAAATCAGAAATCCAAAACACTTTTGGGCCCAAGAATTTTGGATAAGGGATACTCAGCCTGTATAAGAATTTGTACTTCTGTACAGGCAGACACAGGTCTTTTCTCTGCTTCTCTAGGTGGACTGCACGTCACTCCATGGATCTCATTTGTAAGTTGTAAGTAACAAATGGAATGAAAATGTTGTCGTAGACACTGTGATGTGCTGCTCTTTAAGGATTGCTTTGGCAGAAGAGTCTCTTTGCCCATTGTCACTCTCCCTTCCCAAGGGCAGTTGACAGACCATGACTGGTCAATGCAGTGATATACTTAGCCCCCGTCTCCCAACAAGGGGCAACTCTGAAGGGTCACCCCAGCTTGAGAACTCTGAATAGAGTTGGTCTAGGGGCCGTCAGGCCTGCATCAGAGCCTCCTCTGTGCAATCCTGCTCTCTTCCCTTCCTTTCCACATGAACTGATCCTGAAGGGGCTCCCCAAGAACATCCCACATGTTAACCTTTGGCTTAAAGACTGCTCCCCGGGAACCCACCACGTTCCACAGGCTCCCACCTTGACCTGGGCATTTGCACTTACATATAGTCTCTCCTTCCAAGCCACAGAAAACGCAGGATCAAAGGCTGGCGTTTCAGGTATGTTTATTATTCTGGAAAAATTCTAATCTAAGGGCTAGAATCCTATTGTTATATTCTTTACATCTTTGATTGTCTTTATATCATCTCTTCTATTGTTAAATTATGAGCTCCAGGGAAGCAATCGTGTCATATATAACTGAGTCTCCTAGTACATGATGAGAGATTACCAAAATCTTTTTCATGGTGTTATATAAATAGGTGATTTCCCCCTCCTAAACTACATCTCTTTTTTAATGAACTGAAGTGCATACGTAGAATGATTTGGGACGTGTTTCATCCTCTTTTAATTTCCCACTTAGTCTCTCATCCACTCAATCTAGCCATTAATGTATATCTTGTTTAAGGCCATCAATGACCCCTGTGTTGCCAAATTCAGCAACTGTTAGTTTGAGACTTTATCAAACAAGGCCCTTCATCAGCACTTGGCAGGCTGAGTTCCCTCTCCATGCTGATTTACTCTCTTTGCCTGACTTCCCATGCCAGGCTACCCTTAAACCTCCCTGGCTGCCCCCTTTCAGTCTCCCTTGCTGATTTATTCTTCTCTACTCAAATTAAATGTTGGAGGCCTCCAGACTTGGCCCTGAGCCCCCTTCCTTTCTATTCTACACATTCTTTCTGCACATGGCTATCTAACCTGTTCTCATGGGTCCATTTCCTATAACTTCCAAATACATAGAGATCATTACATCTACCTACCTAGTCCACATCTCCACATAACTGACTCACATATAACATGTGCCAACCTGAATAGTATTTAATTTTCTTTTCCAACTGTATATCTCCATAAACTTAGCTATGCATGTCAGAAACATGGAGTCTGAATTAATGTCTCACTTTTTCTCCTAGCCTCCAAGTTCTCAGGAGTGAGAAGTCCTACTCCTGGTTAAAAACCTATATGTGATTCTTGAGGCCTGACCATAGGCAGTTACAAAGGCTTTACCTGGCAGGCCTCATGGGGGAAAGCTGCCCCTACTCCAGACTTGGTGCTGAGCTGGCACACTGCAGTTTCTAAAGAGAGTCATAGTTAAGGTTCAGGCCCCTCAGGCCCATCGTGCTCTGTGTTATTTGCATTTCTGGCACAGGTGCCTTCCGCTCCTACGTCTCTTTGTGTGTGAGGCCTTGGGCCAAGGTCCTCTTCAGGTGCCTCTGCCGAGGCTGGTATGGAGCG